GTTCTGAAAGTGGCAGTCAAATACCTCGTAACTGATACCCTCGGCACAAGCGGGGTAGTATCGGGTATCAGGGAGCCGTTCAAGTAGCCCAGGTGGGAGTGGCGCGCTCTTCTTCCTGATAAGGTGTCTGACAAGGTACAATGCCAAACCGGAAATGCAGATATCGAGGATAGGAACGCCCATGATTGAGGTCCATATCCTTCGCCCGATGCCGAACCGCTTCGTAGGAGACGAGCAGATGGGCTCGAGCAACGATATGCTCATGCAATTCAGACCAGCTTCATACCACGCGACTCCTGAGTTTGAACGTGTTACCCCTGGATGCGAACGACTGATCAGTGACGGAGACGACGCGATCGATCTCGGCCACATAGCTCTAACCCAATATAGTAGGCAATATCGCCTGGCTGGATATTCTTGTCTCCTTGTACGTACGTCTTGGCAAGATAAGATTTACGAATGAGTTGATCGGGTGATGCGTGGCCGATCGGTGTAGCGGGCGTTTCGGCACCATTGTTGGAACACTTTTCCCTCGATCTTCGTTCGTGGCCCAGTGCCTCGAGTACTGGGGGAGCATCCGCACATTGGGGAAACTCTTCTTGATTCAGCAGGGGCTTGTTGTGTAAGACTATGTCGAGAGCGCTTAAACACCGCCAGTGCGCCAATAGGGTCACCACCACGGTAGTTCGATGGGATAAGGTGTTCTCGACTGATCCCATCTCGTTCCGGCCATCCGGTGGGCGGAGAGAGAAACTGCTGCGGAGTAGCTGTCTTCGGTCCAACCGCGTAATTGATCCTACTGTGGGTGGTACGGGTCGCCGTACACGCTGGAGTACAGTGTTGGCGGTAGGTTTCCCTTGCTGAAGCAACAAATGTAATAGTTCGCTCGTTGCGGAAGTCTTCTTTCATCTCGACTGCTCAGTAGACAGATGGATCGATCACCGCAGCGGGACCACTCACAGAACTGAGATGAAAACCACATGGTGTTAACTTGGATGAGCTTTCGCATTCCAGAAATCGTCCAAGGGCAGGGAGTCAAAGATACGGCGGATGGATAGTGCAGGTGGTTTCGCAAGGCGCCCGGGCAGTGATGGCAAGGAAAAACGCAGATAGTAGTGTAGATGGCGTCTGTCACTGCGCTTATCAATATGACTTTCTTTCTAATTGAAAATCCCACACCATGTCAGATCCACCTGATAAACCATAGAATCTCAGTTTAACCGTCTCGGAGGCCATGCTTTGGAACACCCATGTGCATGGAGAGAGGAGCCTTGGAGTGGCTGTGACGTAAGCGCATCACCTTTTTCCTAATTCGACTTCAACGTACACACCACGAACCTGAAGAGGAAGCATACCAGGTGCTGCAACACACACCAGCATATGTCACATCCCTCTCTAGGGAATCATTCAAGGCAGTACCAGAATAGTAAAACCCTTCAAGTAATTGAAATGGATCAGCACTCGGAAAACGTACAGATTGGTACTGTGTCGTAGTTACGGACAAGTTGTGCATGGCTTTCAAGTTGTTAGCCATCTCCGCGGGCGGATCCGCCGTCCTTGGCGCTATAACCATGCGAAATCGTCAAGATCACCGAGCTGGCTGTTTCCCCCTAAACTCAGAGGACAACTGGCGCCGCACCTGCAGCTATGGACGACCAGATCATCATATCAGGTTTCTTCGACACATTGCATAGAAATTGTTTCGCTTTCTCTTCTTCGACAAGGCTCGGGGCTATTCTTGGTATAAATCTGCCGACGAAAGAACTTGCGATGTTTTCAGTACGTAAAACCGGCGAGGTCGCCGCCCATCGTGAAGTGCACTGGCTTGTTCGACGCGCTGGCACTCTACTTCTCGAGTAGGTCGTCGGTCGCATTAGCGGTGTTGAGAACGACGTATCCCGAGGGACACAGCTGAACCTCGTAGAATGAGCGATGTACTTTTTGTGAAGGATGAAAATTCCTGCCACATTTCCCGCTCATAGCTCCCAATGTCTTACACGGAGCATGTATCCGAAAGTCGAGCGATGAACGGCCATCCAGGAAGCCCAGAGGAAGCGATGCGTTTCTTCTCCGAACAAGACGTCCGACGAGGTACACGAAGCACACATCAAGGGTAAACCAGAAGCTGGTACGATGAATGCCGTGTTCATCCAGTTTAGACCATCTTTATATCATGCGTTTTCTGGGTCTGAACGCACAACCACGGCATCAGAAACTTGTAGCAGCCATGGTGTGAGTACATTGTCCTGTGCAAGCGCTCAACCAAAACCGAGGACAACAAGTGACAAGCGCTGAGTTGCCTGGAAACGAAGTGGGTAAATTGAGGATGACTTTCAAGATCCCACACGAAATGATGTAGTTCAGGATCCAGAAACGTCCTTCCAGACGAAGTACACGAATGCATCAAAGTGTCACTGGAACAGTACCTCGGGCCGCTGTTGAGACAATGAGGCCAAGTTTATGACATGTTGTCGCATCACGGGCAGAGAGAACTGACCGCTGACCATCACAGTGATCTGACATTCAAATTGTCGTCCGTATGCCAGATCGATGCCTTGGCCAGACTTCGCAAGGTACCTCAACGATGTCAAGACTTGAGAGTCGAGATGACAAAAAGTCGGCTCGAGTCGAACTCGGGTTAAACCTGCTTCTTCATTAGTAACTTGGCCATCGAGGATTTGTCTTCCAGAACTGCCACTAGAGTTTGTCTCTACCAAATCGGAGTAATTTCCTCCATTACAAAGATACGAGGATAAACAACATGAGGTGTTCAAACGAGCGTGGGAGTCTATTCGATAAAAAGATTGGATCGTCAAAGGATACCAAGCCAGAGCCAAACAGGACAGAAAATATCAATCAGAAAAGAAGGCATGTATAACAGATTTGTAACTAGAGGAAGAGATAAGAAGCTAGAGAATAAAACGCATCTTTTCGTTGCCACGTAATGTGCATCAAGATGAGTCACGATATCTGAGGTTCCTACTTGCGTTCCTCGTCCTCAAAACGTGCCTCCACCTTGACCTTTTCGTCAACGTATTGCGGAGGAGCCATAAATAAGGTCTCGGGAACTTGCTCATACACGATGTATTCGCGATCAACAGTCTCCTCACCACGTTCGCCGCGCACGGTGCGATAAGCCAGGACAGACAAAACCCAGAACATCCTTAAAAGAACGCCGATACCACAGCCTTATTATACAGTACATTAGCCCAGGAAAAGCGGGATCTGAGATTTCTTACCAAGAACGAAGGATACCGCGCGACCTTCCCAGGGTCCAAGTGCCTTGATGGCCCTGTGGATGCGCCTCAAAAAGCTCTTGCGGTGTTTGTGGTGACCGTGACGTCCACGGTGGCCATGGTGGCCATGATGGCGGTGATGTTCATGGCCATCATCGTCATCAGGGTGGTCTGGGCGTTCATCGCCATGGTGGTTTCTGGGCTTCCCTTCCTCGTCCTCTTCTTGGGAATGAAGTATGACGTTGTGTGAGGGATAACCCAAAGGGAGAATGTGGACTTCCTCGGGTCCAGGCACTGCGAGATCAACCTCGATCGGTGGCATTCCAAGCGCGTGGCGGAAAGCGTTGGATAAGCGGAGAGCTTTCTCGCGCAGCGAGGCTCCGCAGAAGTGGCGGGAGAGATCCTTGTCCTTTCCTTCAAGAGGAGGGATCATGATGACTGTGGGACGGACGACACGGTCGACGTTGTCATCATTGCCGTTTACGTTTGCGTTTGCCAGCGCATGGCCAAAGCGAATGTTGGCATTTGCATTAGATGGATTGTCGATGACGCGGATCGGCTCAGCTGCAGCGAGACTGACTGTAGATGCGAATAATCGTTAAGTCGATACCACAGGACTGAGGGAGCGGAGCAATGTCTCACCTGCGCTTGCCCCCGCTAGGAGTATTGGTAAGATAGAAAGGCGCATACTGTGTAGTAGCCTTGCTAAATTACTGCTATAGCTTTGTCAAAGAGACAGAACCAGTTGGGTAGATGGGTTGCTTCGAGTGGTACAGCGGATGGAAAGCGACAGAGACGATTGAAGTGGTAGGGGTGGCTAGTAAGCAGGATTCTTGAGCCGGGATGCTGTACAACAGGTTTCAGACTCCGACCAGCCACTGGGGTCTTACAACCATTTCTGCTGCGCCGCAGTCCAAGCATTTCCCGTGCTCGCCGCCCCTTACACGCGCTAAGTCGACTCGGGCAAATCTCCCCTCGCATAATAATCGGAAGAATGCTGTAGTATATATTCAGGAGCCTCTCTTCCAATAATAGACCCGCTCGGCCGAGCTTTGCCCACAATACATGAAATCATACTGCGGACGATTGCCTGCGAAATAACAAGCGTAAGCGTCCGCAGTCCTGCTCTGAGCCCCATTTGATTAGTTACTCACGCGGTGACGCTGAACTTGAGCGAGGTAAACACAACCGTTAGCTTTACCGCGTTTCCTACCAATTCCGACCATCCCCTTTCATCGAGCTGCACCATCCCATCGTCCTCCTCTCCGTGCAACCGGTAAAAGCGGGCGTAAATCGTGACGTCCGGCTTGTACTTGAATTCGGATATCCACCAATCATCTTTGGTGGCGAAACGGTGGATAAATAGATCCACTGCTTTCTATGTTAAGACTCATCAGTATAATGTACCTGGGATATTCGAGCTGCAGTGCGTACACGATAACTCATTGCCTGAAGTGCGGCCCTACCAAATGCACGTCTCTCGTTTCTGCAAGTCACTATGATCTGAGGGGGGAGTTGTTGCGCTGAAGTGACGAACTGGTGGAGAACACTGATCGCTGAAACAACATCTGCTGGCAGCGTCGGAAGCTGCGGTTCGGGGGCCCTCGGGATCGAGGTAAATCGACTCATTATGAAGCTAGGACGAGACCGACGCACGGTCCAAGACAAGAAGCCTCAAGGCCTCGTGCCTCATGGCCGCAATCCAACCCGTGTAGCTGTTGGTTGCACATGGTTGGAGTTCATTTATCCGGAACCGTCATCATCGGTCTGATGGCGTAGTTGGTTATCGCATCTGTCTAACACACAGAAGGTCTCCTGTTCGAACCAGGGTCAGATCACTTTTTAATTTTCTTCTTCTCGTCGTATTGTGACCATTTGTCACGGTGAGAGTCCGCTTTGCAAGTTCCAGATCTCAGGACTCCTCTCTTCATATCCGATGAAATAGGTAGTTTGTTAGGAGAGTATTTTTCTGTCAGCCATGTTTTCTTGCCACAGACAGGTACTGTCAAGACTCAATGTCGCTTCAAGCCTCCGAGTCGAAAAACAGGTTGTCCAGGTCCTGCTCCGAAAATGTGACAACAGAGCCTGACCGCATCGCAACCTGTGGACATGGTATTCAGCAGACACTGGGGTAGATTTTTCTCGGTCGGATAAATAAAATGTCTTGCCTGTTGAAACGTTGATCCCCGTTCTCGCGAATGGTGTAAGCCGTGGGGCTGGGGTGTGGCTTGCTTTGTTTTTCCAAGCCAGCAATTGTTCCGATTGGCTTTTGCATGCCAGGTCACGAGAAAAAAACGTTCATTTGTTTCAAGCGCGCCACTGACCGGCAGCGTAGTTTCAGTCTCCCAGTCCAGCCGCATCTCTAGGCTGGCCTTTCCTCAGTGCTCGTTATGGCGCCCAACTTGGTTCCAAGCGCGTTCTGTACTCTAAGACCCCACTATTTATCTACCAAAGTGATCGCGTTTGGTGCGCTCATCACCTTTGCGATCACTGTCTATACCTTTTCGTCGTCCGAGTTTTCGTTCCGGTTGTCGGACTGGTCTTCATTCTTTGCGGGTCGTCAGCGTGCTACATGCTCGCCTGAAGCATGGTCTTCGGGGTATTGGACATACAGTCCAAATACCGATTTACCTGCGCTTACGAGTGCGGATCAGGTATTTGCTTTCTCCGAATTGGAGGGGTGCGCAGCAGATCGGGAATACTATTGGCATTTGGGGGTAGACCACGAAGAGCAATTCGACAGATTCCCGGACGTCGCTTCGTATAAATGGCGACCATCCTCTCAATGTGACGTCCGGCCACTCAATGGCGCTGCTATGGTCAAAGACATGGTCGAACAGGGTGGGTGGCTTCTGATGGGTGGTGAGTTTTCCGTTTTCGCCTGTCACTCGACTTGTCTTGATATGAGACCTTGCAAGACTCGATAACGGAGAACCACTTTTTTTCGTTGTCGTGTCTTCTCTACCCGCACGTCCGCGCAACCCCCAATTATACCGAAAACCCGTATTTCGACAGAGCGTGGCCACAGAAATTATACCTCTCGCCCACGTCCCCTCTGATACCCGAACTCGATTTTCCACCTGACTTCTCCATTGAAAATACGCCCCTCGTTCTCTTCCGCCGCGTCGACCTCCTACTCAACCAAGAGGATCTCGAGACATTATACCAAAATACCTTTAGGACGGAAGCAGAGGATGAAGATCCCACTGCCACCAACCTTACCACAAAACCACTTTTCAGTGATGAACAGATGTGGTCGTTGTCGCCTTCGGAATACATGCCCATCTTCTTGGATTCGCCACCGGAGGGAAACTTTGGGACCCTGGTCGTGAACACGGGCGGTCATTGGACGACCACGTTGATGAGCGCGTTCCGTGATGAAGAGGCTGGAGAAGCAGCGGGCTATGGCATCGAAGGTGTCAAGGCATTCTTCAAGGTTGCGATGCGGACGTGGGCGGGGCAAGTCCAAGATGCAATTGACGAATACCGGCGCAACGGCGGAACACGGCCGAAACAAGTCGTCGCTAGGGCTTATCTACCCGGCCACGAAGACTGTCACAATCACCGTAAACCATGGACGGCGATCGAACCGTACCAGTTCCGATGGTACAACTGGCCATGGATCCAGGATTACAATGAGATCTTCAAGGTCGGTGCTACCACTTTCAGTATTGCACCCACACACTCTACCTCAGTGTTGATATTGGACGACGTGCTGATGGTTTTGTACGCGAAACAGGACCTTCTGGCGACTGAATTCCCTGATATTTTTTACTTACCCATCGAGCGTCCGGGGCGCCTCCGGCCCGATGCAGTGCGTCTTTTTCCCCTTATCAAGTCTACGTACCTCGCGCTCATGGTCCCATCTTAGCATTCCGCCGGTGATTGCTTACACATTATGACCGGCGCTGGCGTTCTGGAAGGATGGTCCCACTACATTTGGCATTTTGTCACTAGGGAGATTGCCGGACGGATACGATAGGAAAAGATGGGCCACTTTCTAGGCTCTCGCGTCACCCGTAAGTAGCACAGCGTCCGTGATCGATGGACTCGGGGCTGTGGATATCTAGGACGTTTGGACTCGCTTGGTTTACCCACTCTAGCTAATCTGCCTCTAGACTCTACCCTGATCTTCGTATTCATTTATCTCGTCTTGGTACTAGACTCTAGTATATTTGATGATGACGGATATTGGATTCAGGATATATCATAGGCAGCCTTGTGCACAAGACGTCTGATGCGTGTTCAACCGTTGGGCCCGTCCTACTGAACCATCGGGATAACTTCCCAAGAAAAGGCTGGTGATTTGTCTCCTCGTCACGTGGTTCATCCCCTGGCAACCAGTTCGAACCGCCCTGTTTGGTGGCCATGCCAACCGTCATGAGATCGGTATCTGGCCAGTGCGGAGAGGCACAGACCATGTGGAAAGGGCCCCCAGGGAATGTTATCATAACCGCAGCCCAGGGCTATCGCATGCAATGATTCAGAGCCCTTTGGATGACGTCATATCTTCGGACAACGGTAAGGATATATACTGTACTGTACGACATTCAATACTCTCAGCAGTGCAAGGCTAAGTTAGTGATTCTGCGATACGACAAACAACAAAGTAATAAGTACGCCCGACAGTAACAGAAAGAACAAGCGTGGAGACGTACACTAAAGGAACACGATAAGATGCGACAGGAACAGCGGGAAAGGGAGGAATAAATTATCGTGGGATGAATATATACCGAAATATCGTCCACAGGAAAAGGATCTAGTGTGTGCTTGATATTTTGAACCGACTTTGGGTCTGGGCGCAAATTGAAACATGTGATGGGTTAACGTTAATACATGAATGTGGCGACCATCGGAGGTTGGGTGGCCAAGAAACTATCAGACGAAAGCTCGCATCCGTGGAACGTGCGAGGTGATGGATACCCTGGTTTGAGTGCTGGGGGTGGAATGGGCATGTACGGCCCGTAGCGTGCCAGGGTGATATCCTCTGTGGACGGGTATCGTGTATGGCCCCCCGAGATGTCGTAGCTAGGTGGTAAGCCGCGGTTCGAGGAGGTTAACTGTTGATCAAGCATCATCGTATAACCATACATCTATGTAAGACGCGAGAGCGACTTACAGGCGTGCGTGGGTTGCTTTGTGGAGCCCCCGCCGCCGGTACGCTGGCAGGTATGCGGGCATCAGAGGACCAAGGCTTCTCTGGTACAGTCAGCATCCCACGAACGGATCGCGCCTGCTCTGGAAAGTGCCGCGTCATGGAGGTTGACTCGATACTGTCAAAATTTTCGCCTATCGGAATAACGCCATCTTCAACTTCCTCTGGATCCTCATGCAAGGACCCCAAAGCCCCGGTATATCGGTGGCCGTTGGTACTGTGACCATGTCCAGTACTACTCTCATCTGGATCGTCTACGCACCAACGCTTGCCAGGTTCCTCGGACTTGATCTCCTGCGGTCGTGACCCGAGAATCCACCACCAGCGCACCGCGCGATGCTTGGGGGTCGGCGGTGGTGAGTCTGAGCATGTCTTTGGGGGGTAACCAAAGGCATAGCTCGTCGATGTTAACGGCGTCTGCGAATCGGACGAGTCGGAACGATCCGGCTGTGACCTGCGATAATCGAACGTAAGCTCAGACGAGCACATGGAATCGTCGAGCGTCATGGGGGCGCTTGAGTGGAGGACTCGTTTCCGTTGAGGGACGAACATGCGCTCTATCTTGGTGGCCCAATCGGACCGTACTTTGTGGTAGTCGTAAGGGCGCTTGTCATGCGGTCTCCGTTGCCAGATGATATAGGCTACAAAGAGAAAGAGCAGGACGCCGCCCACGATTGCGGGAGTAGCTATTTGGAGGGTTCCCCAATTACCATTTCTGCCATCATTCGAGTCGTCACGAGCCTAAAGACGATTCAAGCCTATGAGTTGCAGACACTCATTACCTGGGAAACACATACGGAAAGCCGCTAAGATATCGTGAATAAGTATATCGGTGCAACATAAACACGACTTACATGGGGTTTTATTGGTGGAGCTACCATCGCATTTGTGGAGGGATGCGGGGAAAGGCGAAAGGTGAGATGATGGTCCTGCCGGTGAATTGGAAAGAAAGATATGGCACGGGGAGCTTCGGGGGCGCTCATAAGGGGAAGATTATTTCTGACCCAAAACAGTTTGCAGTTATCCAATCAGCCGTGTTAGCGACCACCACCTCTGAGATCGACTCGTCTCTACCCTCAAAGTCGTCCCCCTTTCACCGACAGCGCACGAGCTCCTCCCCGGACTCTCCTCGATCGCCCTCTCCATCCCCCACTGGGGTCTGCAACACTGCACAGGGATGTCGGTCATACTCCTTGAAAGCTGAAACACCGAACCCAAGATCCCGATTCTAATTTTCTTTCTAGCTGGCCGGGTGGCGTTGGGAATCAAGGACGTCGCTGGGGTTACAGCCATTCTGAAGCAATTGGCAGGTAAATTTGAATAGCACACCCACCTTCGAAGGCATTTCTTGGCGTCGTATGGTCCCGTGGCATGATGTGCTCGCGCGGCAGGAGCCGAATTTTCAAGTCACCGAATTTAGAACCCGTTGAGGGTGGAGTCGAGTGCCCACAGGACTACACCAAAATAGCTACATAGTCTATCATTTCTACTTTAGTGCGAAAAAAATCAATAATCGCCTCCAGAGCTTTCAACAACAACAGCTAGGCATCCGTGTAGCAGGCCACTGATATCTCACATGCATTTATATAATCTACGATTTTTTCCTCATTTTTATGGCGCACCATCACCCGGCCACCCTCATCCCGCTGACATGATCAACTTTTCATCTCGTGACACTGATGC